GACAAGTGTTTATCCATCCAGGCTCAACTGCTAACTCGAAAGTTATTCCAGGAAAAAGTTAACCCGCGCTCTCACGGCAAGTTAGCGTATTTGACCCTGGGTTAACCTCAACATTTTCTCTTATTTTCTATCTGATTTTTTTTAAAAAGTGCTGGTTTTGGCTTGAATAGACCGATCTCCTATTACCTGGACTGCGCGCGCCGCTTGTAGGCTGCAGGTGAGCGTCCAATGAGAAGCAAGTTTGTTACAAGCTTGCGTCATATTCTTATTCAAGGGTCAGTTCAGAATGAATCGTTCCTTCTTTCTTAGTAACGTGTAATTTGACAAAGAGCAAACTAATACTTTACATGTTACTTGAACTCACTGCAGTATCGTTTAAGGCCGTTTAAGGTTATGTTAGATTATACTTGACATATTCCTTTACAATTTCATTGAGCGATGTTGCCGGATGAAACATTTATTAAAATAAAAGTGCAAACGATGTTCATCCACTTAACTTCTTTTATCTGATTTAAGGCGTTGTTAATCACTTGACACTATATCACTTATTTAATGTTATAATGTTCGATTTGTACTGTCTACATTTGTTCTGCAACAATACAATCTGGCTACACTGCAGCCCCCAGTTGCGCACGCATGTCATCTTTAATTACTTTCTAACTTGTATTTATTACAATTAAGCTCTCTTTTTCTAATCATGCATAGGTCTATTTCGATACTGTGAAGAGATAGAGGTCCTAGATATCAGTGATGATGATCGAGATGTTCTAGAATTTGCATAAGCGACGCCTCTACCACAGGCACGTGAGGTTTCGGTCAAATCCCTTTGAGGATTTTAACGACGTCGACTTCTTCGCACGTTTTTGCTTGCGTAAAGAAACAATTATTTTATTTATTCTAGAACAAATCCAGCATAGCCTTGAATTCCCAACAAACCTATGTTTGTTGAGATTGAGAATTCGAGTATATTGTTTATTTCTAGACAGAATACACGAAACCGGCGAATTTTCCGCTGTCTCCTAGTGGGTATTCACACCAAAATAACATGCGATGTACGACTTGCTACTAGAAAGCAAGAAGCATGCTATTATTTTCGAACCTAGAAACATATGCCTGGCTTCACTGCGGAATGATTGGAACATGTATATTTTAATAGTTTGCGACGTATGTACTTGCAAGACGCACAAACGTAGTTTATTTTCGACTTGTTTCGTAGAGGAGTGAAATATGGTTGCACTGCGAGATATATGAATGCCCAGCTACGGAAATACGGCAACGAAAAAAAAAAGAAAAAATAACATAAATAAGTAAGGCTATGAGCAGAAAATGTCAAAAAAAAAAACAATAAAAGTGAGCTGGCAACGTTGCATAAGTAATACCAGCCTTGGGTGAAAAAAGCTTGGATAGACTGAAGACACAATGACAAATACAAGGTAGAAGTGCCAAGAGACAAAAATATAATAACACGTGTATCAATATTATAACGCAAAATTAATGAATACCTACAGGATACGATTTACTTGCTTACCTACCACAATACAAAATTTAGAATTTTTGGTATTTTGTATCTTGTCACTTGTACCTTGTATTTGTCATCGTGTCTTCAGCCTTTCGACTTAACTAGGTATATGCCCAGAGTTAGAGTTGACCCAGGGTCAGCAAACTCTGCGACTTATCCCTTGATTGATAAACCGGCCCTAAATCGGGTATAATTTGAATTATAGGATACTGCCAAAATAATACTAGCAAAAGAATCACGTTTACTAGCAAAAACCAGGTGGATACAGTTGAAGCAAGAAATGGACATTTCAAATCAACTTTTAAGTTTTTAATGAATGACTAATACTATCTTAATGGCACATCTTGTTTATCTCGGCGATCTTCTTTACCCTACACTCCAGAAATGCTGGAGTTATTCTAAATAGATATTATGCGAGAGTATTAGTAGAGAGCAGAAGCAGAAAGTCTAAGAGCCATACACGGTAGATGGGTTCATTTAAATCCGAACCACTTACTTAATTTTCCTCGTCTTACTCTAAACGATCTGCGAGACTTAACTGTTGGTATTTATCAAGTGTTTCTAGCTCCGTACAAGACGCCACTATCACCATGATGTAGAGAACTCTTCTAAGAATTCGCGTATTTTCTCGCTTTCGTAATGAGCTAATTTTAGGGTATTATTGTACCTGCAAATCTGGACCAAGAACTCTGGGAACTAGTAGGATAATAAATCTATGACCTGGAGAAACCTTTCAATCACAACCGAAATCAAGCAATCAATCCGATAAAAAAAAACCTGCTGTTGGGCGTTCAAATCGCCTATAGAACTGATGGTAATCTATTCAATCTAAGCAGATTTCAAGCCAAGGACAAGGTATCCATGCCTAACAACTCTTTGTGAGTTTCAATATACTGATGATAATGGTGTTCTGGCAAATATCGGGAAGGAACGGATCATAAGTGCATTTCAGCAAGCATACGAAAGGATCCCTCTAGAAATCAACACAGAAAAGACAAAAATTCATACCAGCCTGCCCCAAATACGAATGCACCAGATCCAGCTATAAATATTATCAATATAGAATACTTTCCAGAGCTCGGTAGTCATCTTTCCCCACAAAACAAATATCGACGCGGAAATTCAACACCGACTAAAGTGCGCCAGGACGTCCCTTGAAATGGGTGTTAGACGACCACGACAAAAATGACCAAACTAAGCTCGCGGTCTACAATGCTATCGTCATACCAACACTTTTCTAAAGATGCTTAACCTGGATAATCTACAGAGGGTACCTGAGGTGTTTAGATGCAACGCTGTTCAAGAAGAACCTGAGTATTCTTCTTGAACAGCGCTGCTTCTAAACACCTCAGGTACCCTCTGTAGAAGGCGAAACAAACAGTATCTTTGAGGCTTCTATGCTTTAAGAAAACCAATTTCGTTGTCATCCGCATGCCAGTCTCTCCTCTTCCTAAACAAATTATGTATTCCCTTCCCAACTAGCCAACGCAGCAAAGGAGGGCAATTCAAACGATACAAAAATACCTTCAATGAGCAACTGGGAGGCCCCATTTAATTTGATTTGGAAAATCCTATTCTATTGATATTGTGAAAGTTGACAGTCTGGTTATTCAGAAGTGAAGGATAACCAGACACGTGCCTATTTCCTGCTGATCTGACTATAACCATAACTGGTTTACAGCAGCGACCAGTTGGCAGCTACCGCTGATTGGGTGTGCAGTGTGGGAGAAATTGTGGGTCCAGAATAGGCCTATTTAGGTATCAAAGTGCCCACAGATAATGATGCTACCAGGATTAATACTCGTTAGCGAGTGAATGCCTAGGATGATGATGATGATTTTCAAGAAGGTGTTGAAATTATATAATTTCAATTAGGTAGCAACTTAAATAATATTTATAATATAAATTAGGTTAAAATGTTTATTATTCCTTAATTCCTAGTATAAAAACTAAGAATGCGACTAACCATTTATTGGTCGCGCGACTTAATCGATAATGCATAAAAGCCTTAAGGCCGTCAATGTCATGTAAATATTTTTATAAAGTGAGAAAAATTTGAAGTGCTCTTGCATTTGGTATCTTTTAACTTACCATAACTCGAAAATGGCTCGTTGGATTTTTTTGTGCCAATGATAATTTTTGTTTAGAATGTTTAGGAGAACAACATATCCAAATCTCAGAAAATTTCACCGAAAGCCATTTTCCATAAGATGGGTGCGGGGTCCTGTAACATATTTTTTTATAATTACCTATTGCGCGATAGCATCGCGACCAATGAAGTAGTAAGATGGTTGGAATAGCCCTTTGCCTATCAACTCAATACATATATTTGCGGCCAACATTGGAGTGAGAGAACAGGAGAGATCCATGAGATTTTCTTGCCCTTACTAGCGCTATCTCACTCAGGGTTAGAGTAAGAGATATGGGAGATCCAATATATTTCTTGCCCTTACTAGCGCTATCTCATCCTGGAATCAATCGAATGACGCAAAGCTCATTCCATACCTTATTTCTACTTCATTGATCGCGACAGAAATCAATTTTGACATTTTGTCGTTCATATTTGAATTTGTGTCGTAGCGTTTCCTAAGTTACGCTGATTTCAACAATACTACACAGCAAACTGAACACCAGTTGAATAAGAGGTGCAACATCAAATTCATGATAATCATAGCATAATAGTTTTCAAATACTTATCCGCATATTATCTCTTCAATGTATGTACGGTAGCACTAAAAATCTCACATGCACCCCAAATTTTAGCGTGCAGTTTTTTGGTGGTACATAAAATTTTCGTCGTAAACAAAATTTTGTATGTACCGCACGCGTAAATAGTGTCTTAGACCCTTCTCCTGCTTAATTTCCAAGCGCAACCACCCTAATTGTACAGAGTCAGCAACTACGCGCGCGTCGGTCTATAAATTTTAAACTAAACTAAAGGTTAAGAATAACATCATATACCAACCTATTCTATTCATAAGACTCTATTTAAGGAAAATATTTTTGAGAACACAAGTTAACCTAAATAAGCGTGACGATATAAAAGTTTTTTTTTAAATTTTTATGAGAGACCCTGTATTTTCTGGCATATTTCAATCCACCTTATTGTTGTTTGGTTCACCCTTTCGAGCCTATACTCTACACTTCAGCCTGGGAGACTTTTAGTGTCTCATTGTATGGGACTCTACTCCTTCCCATTCTTACTTGGAGACTAGATGGTTGAAGACAGTGTGGGAGACCTATCGTGCCGTACTACTGCGGTCACTCATCCAATCTCCATTCGCTGCTTGGCCTGTGTAAGGCGACTTGCATTCTCTATCACCAAGTACCAACGTTTCGTCAGTTTACCTTAGACCGACGACCGACGCGTGCTTAGTTGCTAACTCTGTATAACTATTGATTTACATGTTTTCAAAAAGCGAACTAACTTCTGTTATAGAATAACGCAATGATAACTATCATCATTGTATTTCTTTTGTAGAGAAAAGATCCATGTGACGGAATAACATTACGGGAGCAAGGTAGCATAGATATGCACGAATGGAGAGGACCCAGAGCTTTCAGCAATCGATATGAACCTTGGCAAAGGGATGGAATTCCGACTCAGGTGATTTTTTTTTCCTCTTATGTAAATTATTTTACCAATAACTATTCATATTAAGTATTTTCGAAATTATAATTCATATTATTTCAGAATAGTAACGAAGCGAACCTACCAATTGACCAAAGTGGTGATCATTGGGAGTTTCCAAGATATCGACTTAAATTTTTCAATATTCTTGGTGAAGGAGCTTTTGGACAAGTGTGGAAATGTGAGGCTATGGACTTAGAAGGTAACTAGTTATGACAGATCTACAATACCTGGTGATAAAGATAAGTTGTTTATAAGATATTCCTTCCAATGTAACAATAGTACCTACCTATAATTTAGAAAGTCGATTATAATATTCTTATGTCGTGCAAGCTAATTTTTTTCGACTTCATTGATGGAGGTCTATATGCACTCGCTATCGAAATATTTGACGTACCTACCTATATAACATTCTGTCATCGAGCACTCGAAAATACCACAGACAGCTATTTTTTTCTCAACTCAGATCTTGATTTTACGCTCTTTGCTTCATCATGTTGTACGTCCTTCCAGCAAAATCGAGTCTACACTTGTTTGGTTTCAAGGGTGGATTTAGTTTGTTCACTGAGTTTTCCGAAGGCTGAATGTTTGTGATGAATTTCCAGTTTTTCTATCCTAGGTGTTTTTGAATTTTGGTTTTATATGAATCCATATCTCTCTATAGTCTTCTTCTCAACTGAGCAGTTCGCGTGCGGTGCTGAGTGGTAACATTTTTATGCAGTTCGAACACCTTAATTCTGACCCTCCTTCGCGTTGAACAGATTTTTTATGGTTTAGATTTACAAAGTACATGACACATGTCCCACAACAAATACTTTTAAATTAAAATGTTTTGGACGCTTATTGGAAAACTATAGGTTTGCAAAATCCAGTTTTCTTTTTACAGAATTCTGCATTGTTTTTTGACTAGGTATATCTTGAATTTTATCTGTGAATATCCTCCTTTTAATTTAATTTGACCAATAATTTCCTCTAAAAAGTCTTCCTAAGAAAATCCATATCCTGTGCGTGACGCATAGGACTTGTGATAATAATAACCATTGACTTGCTAGCTGTATAACTTTCCCTTGCTCTGTTTTCGATCCGTCTGTATACCAGACGTTCGGGAATACAGGTACCATATTTTCTCCCTTGCGGCCCTCAATAGTCAGTTTGAAGGAGTGTTCAAATTCGTACCTCGGTTGCAGGTGGTCAACTGGTTTTTTCGTCACACTTATGCATTCTTTCATAGTCCCATGTGGCCGACAAAGTCCCCTTCCTTTAGTTTCAGGGGTTGTGCTATTCTAGAGGCTCCCATGTAAACCTCTTTTTTCACTATTATATCTAGTGAGGGAAGGCCCAACATGACCTCCACTGCGGCGGTTGGACAGGTGTTCATTGCTGCTGTAATTCCAAGACATGCATACCTTTGTACAAATGCCAATCGGTTTTGCGCTGTCTGTTGTTTTAATTTTGGCCACCAGACTATTGCAACGTAGGTGACCATGGGTCTTATAACCATTGTAAATAACCAATAGATCATTTTTGGCTTTAGTCTCCAAGTCTTGCTGAATAATCTCCGGCATGTCCAGTATGTGGCTATTGCCCGGTTGGTTACTCTTTTGAGATGTTGGTTCCAAGTGTTTCTGATCCAAGGTGACTCCCAGGTATTTGACCTCACTTGCGAAATTGATTTGTATCCCATTTAAGTTTGGGGCTGTTCCCTCCTTTTCCTTGTAAAAGGTACAATTATGGTTTTGTTGGGGTTGACGCTTAAACCCTCCTGTAGACACCATCTGATAATGACATTTAGGGCATTTTGCATGAGGTCACATGATCCTATCATGCTTACCCCTAATAATGACTGAGTGAGGTCGTCAGTATATCCTAGGACTGTGATCCCTTGGGCGGTTAGCACGTTGAGAAGTTCATCTTTTACCAGTGACCACAACAGTGGGGACAATACCCCCTTTGGGGGCATCCCTTGACTGCTGAGACCGTTGCAGAGTTACTTACAATGGCTGCTTTGATTTTCCTATTTTCGAGCCTGGCTTCATTCCATGCAATTGTAGTTTCATCAAAGTCCCCATTTCTAGCCGCTCTTCTTATGAATTCATGTGAGCTGTTATCGAAGGCTCCCTCTATATCAATGAATGCACATAGAGCGGTTTCTTGATTAGAGTATGCCTTTTCAATCTTAGTGACAAGACTGTGTAGGGCTGCCTCAGTTGATTTACCTGGCTGATAGGCAAATTGATTCTTTTGAAGCATGCTTTCCGTTAGAAATTCATTCCAGATGTGAAGGTCAATGATTTGCTCCATGGCTTTTCAGGAGAAAGTAGGTTAGGCTAATTGGTCTGAATGACTTAGGCTATTGTGTAGGATACCTACCAGCCTTTGGAATGAAGACCACATTCACATCTCGCCAACTGGTGGCCTAGTAGGTAGCTAACTTTGAACATTTTTATTAGATTTGGTGTTAGTTCTTCCAGACTTTGTTGTAAGAGGGCGGAAAAGATCCCATCTTCACCTGGTGATTTGTAGGGCTGGAAGCTGTTTCTAGCTCATTTGATCTTATTTTCAGTGAATATCCTTCCTTCCTTCAATCGCGGAACGCCTTTTACCACCACAGCCCATTTCCCATCAGGTTTCCACTTGATAGACTCTGGGAAGTGTGCTTGCAGAAGCAGTTTTGCACTATCTAGTCTACTTTTGGTATAGCTACCATCAGATCTCTGAAGGAACCCGTTTGAGTGTTAGTTTGCTGGGTTTTCTGAAGGCGCATTATGTGAAGGACGTTGATCATCTCCTCGCAGAAACTCCTTCAGAATTCTCTTTTAGATCTTCCCAATTCTTTGTTGTATTCTGTTAGGACTTTTTTGTATTCGCTCCAGTTGTTGGTACGCTTAGCCCTATTGAACAATTTTCTTCTCTCAGTCCTTAAGGAGCTGAGTGTCTTGTTTCACCAGGGCGTATTCCTCTTCACTACCCGTTGCTTCACAACACAACTGTTCTCATACTTTGTAAATATGAGATACTTTATTTCGTTAGAATAGAATTCCAGATCGCCTTCCGTCTCGATAACGTTAGGGAGATCGGTACTTTCCGTTCTTAATAAGTCTTTATACAGACCCCAGTCGGTAAGTTTTGGGTTTCTATAATTGAAACGGCATTTTTCTGTGGCCTCTATGTCGAACCTGATGTGTTTGTGGTCCGACATCAGGGTTTCATCAGAAACATGCCAGTCCTTTATACAATTGCCTATAGTTGTGCTGGCGAGGGTTAAATCCAATACCTCTTGTCGCAAGCTATTCGCAGAGGTGGGTTTGTTACCTTCATTAATAATGTCTATGTCATACGAGATCAAATATTCAATAAGGTACTCACCTCTTTTGTTATTGTTTGTGCTGCCCCATGCAGTGTGGTGAGCATTGGCATAGTAGGAGCCCTTACCTATCACCCGGTCCAGATTAACCCTAGAACGAAAGGGGCAAGGATTTGGTAGGAATTCCTAATTGGGACTTTATTATAAGCATTTATTGCAAAAATTCCAAACTACCATCAATATATACATAATAAAAAATAGGAACTACAACAAATACATTCACCCACAAGAGTAGTCTCGCACTTCTTACGCTATAAACCACTTCCTACCTAAGACTTGGTACAAATAGTTATCAAACTATATAATTAACAATGACAATCTTGTCTTTCACACTTTAGGGTTTACAACAAAACAAATAGGTATCTATTTAAGCGATTAATATTATTTTCATGATACCCTCACCTATATTTTCAACTTTAACGATGCATCGCACAAATTCCTTGTGTAAAATAACCTGGCATTGGAGAATCTGATTTTGTTTAATTCTTATTCAATTTGTCTACTTAGGTAAAGATGCGGGTCCAACAATTGTCGCTGTGAAAACCCTGAAAGAAAACGCTAACGAAAAAGAAAAGAGCGACCTGATTTCCGAACTTCAAGTAATGAAAATGCTCGAACCGCACCCGAACGTAGTTAAATTACTGGGCTGTTGTACGGAAAAGGAGCCAATTTTCCTTATTATGGAATACATTACTCATGGCAAGCTGCAAAGCTATTTGAGAAACTCCAGGGCGGAACGCTATTACAATAATATGCACGGCAAAAGTAAGACTTTGACGTCGCGCGATTTGACGACGTTTTGTCATCAGGTTGCAAGAGGAATGGATTTTCTTTCGGCTAATGGGGTAAGATGAATAAAATCCCTAGTTTAACTAAATTAATACCTTGTTATCCTCAACCTTTACCTGACAATTTATTTAATAGATGTGTATAGTATTTGGTCTGGAGACAAATAATTTGTTAGCACAGGCAAGAGCTTGTTATCCAAATTGGCACTTTAGGCAATTTTTGACAAAAATTATGATTTAATTCCATCTCCGTTAAAGTGGAGATGAAATTAAATCAAGTAGGTAACCTATCCAGTTACCATACTGTCTAGCAGAATCCTTAATGTCGAAAAACATTAGCTAGAATAATCTGTTTTTTTTTATGCTATCAGTTTGAAACTGTAAACAAGGCGTTAAATCTAGATTTAATTTCTAGCTTGTGTTAAGGGCATGAAATAATTAATTTGATATTTCCATTAAAACCTTAGCGCAATCTAGAACTTAATCTAAAAAACTATATACCTACCTACGAAAAGGAGTGGGTATAGGGTAATATATTCGTATAACAAATTAGGTCACTTTTGCAATATTTCATGTTTATTATGGCTGTTTTCTATAAAAATGTTTTTATTCAGGTGATCCCGTTTTCGCAATTGAATCATCTACATTTATTTTTGAACCTTCTCCATTTTTTTAAGAATAAGTAAGGTTTAAAAATAAATGCAGTTGTGGTACCTACCAAATCACTTGCAAAAGCTGAAAAGCTTCTTTCGATAGGTAGTCTTACAATTTGGAAAATAATTTTACTCACTTTCTATTTTAATTTAATATTTTCTCAAGCCTATCGACGAATTCTTCATCTTTTCTCAGTCTCTTCTTTCGCATACTAAATCTTTTCCGATATTTCCTACAATTAAGCTGTTATTTTTTCTATAAAATTTTTCAATTTTTTTATCGTCTTAACATGCACTACCTATGTAGGTAGGTACCCACTATTTGCTCTTGAACCCTCTCAAATACATTTCCGAATTGTACCCTAGAGTGTTAAAACCAGTGAGCTTTTGTAGTGGGTGTATATTTATTGATAGTAAATGATGTTGACACCGATTTCAAATAACTACTTGTGCGGAAATATATTTAAGTGATTAAGATATTAATAACTTTGAAAAAAAAAAACGTGCAAAGCAAGACTTACCGAAATGGTTGTTTTCAAATCCGATAACATCGGCGAAAATTATAGCACTTAAATTAAACACAACGCAAGAGAACTCAGTGTGCCATAAATTCAATTAAAAATAAAATTAGGTCCAAAATTCCTTTTTAGGGCGAAGAAAAAAATTCAATTCTTCAGGAGAACCTTTCTTCAAAGCTACCAGAACGTGAAAGAAATGTGCTACACATCAAATTAATTAGCTGACGTAAAAGTAGGGATTCAGAGATGATTCAGGATAACGACAAATATCAAAAATTAATCGATAGAATTCTTACTCACCAAAAATTGCACCCAACAATATAATCAGAGAAAAATGACAACGGCTGACGAGTAATGATAATAACAACAAGGAATTATCCAATAGAACAATTTTAATTTGAAGAATTCGATAGGGAGTACTTAAGTGATCCGGGATGCAAAATTAACGGGACTTAACAAGAATCGACGATACCAAAAACATTACTAATCAACAGCCAGTTGACAAAAATTAATGACACTTCAAAAGTTAGAAAATAGAAAGCAAGGATCGCGCAGAACACAGATCAAAGATTATGGAACCAATGTTTGAACCGGGTTCCACTAGAACTGTACTGACTTAAATAGCCGAACCGAGTTCGGTACATACACTTGGAAACTGAAAACGGATTACCAAAAAGAAATCTTTTTGACAAATGAATATTTATTTGTTTATTAGGCAATTCAAACCACGTGACATTCAAGATGGCGTGGCGGCCACACATGGGCCAAAAAACACAAAAAAATATATAGTTTCTGCCGGAATTAAAAGTTCAGGTACCTAGTCAACAAATATTTTATTAAATAATGAAAATCAAAGTTGTTAGCAAAACTGTATGCAAAATAATTTTAAATACGCATAAAAACATATCCAAAACAAACTTGCTTGGCCGCCACGTCACATTGAATTTTCCGTTTTGACAGATGGATTGAATTGCCTAATAGGGCAGGTACACGATCTGACAGTTTGACACTATTGACAGTCGCCTTGAGGTAAAACCAAGATAAAATCTGTTTTTTTTTTAAAGATAAAAGTCAAAATGACATCATGTTGGCAATACAATGTAAAATTGTCGATGCTTTCAAAATTTTTATGTAGAGAAGGCTTGTGTTGCCAACAAAGTTACTAAATTTTTGACTTGGGGAATTATCTTTAAAAAAAAACAGACTTTATATTTTACAGTGTTTTTTAAGTTTTTAGTTAGATTTTTTTAAATAAATACCTCATGTGTGCTCCAGAAGTTTCTTGGACATGCCTAGAGTTTATTTAGTTGTTAATTGTGGCAGTATAGCACAAGGGATACAATATCCTTCTATAGGTTTCCATCAATTTCAAATAACAATGAGAATTTTGATTTGTTAGCTCAAGAAAGAAGAGAAAAATTGATTAATGTTGTTAAAAGAGAAGATCTGACAGAAAAATAGATTGAATATAGAGTAACTATACTTATATATTTGTTCTTGAGACACTTGGTTTTGATATTTGTTGGAAAAAACCTGAATTTAATCCATTATAGGAAAACCTAACAATCTTTTGGATAAACCACCACATAGACTTGGAACACAAACAGTCCGCTCTAACTTTTTTTAAACAAAATAACACCAAAACTTGTAAAAAAGCTGCGAAAACCGCGTAAAACATAACCGGCCTAATCTACACGAATTAGGCAATTCAAACCACGTGACATTCAAGATGGCGTGGCGGCCACACATGGGCCAAAAAACACAAAAAAAATATCTAGTTTCTGCCCGAATTTATAGTTTAGGTACCTAGTCAACAAATATTTTATTAAATAATGAAAATCAAAGTTGTAAGCAAAACTCTATGTAAAATAATTTGAAATACGCATAAAAACATATCCAAAACAAACTTGCTTGGCCGCCACGCCACATTGAATTTTCCTGTTTGACAGATGGATTGAATTGCCTAATGTAAATAAATGATTTGTTTTACCTCAGGGCGACTGTCAAACTCATTTGTGACGTCACATGGACATGCCCTATTATTATGAAAATCAAATTGGAAATGGAATTTTAAATATGGATTAAAATCGAGGAAAAATCATTACATCACAGGAACTATGTAGTAACAAACCAAAATAGAATTTGACTATTGAAAATTAGAAAATTTACAGAATCTGCAACTGTTGTAATTTCATAGAGGATAAGGTAAACAAAATTAAAGAAATCTTGAATAGAAAACCGAAAAACAAGCATGACCAAGGCAATTTTGGCTCGTTACACCTCTCCATCACGACCCTGCACTAGCCGAAAATGTCATTCAATTGTACTTGTCACACTGCCTCCAAACTAATGGCGATTTCCATTTATCAATCAGTGCGCACTGAGTGTATCCGCATCTTTTTCTAAAAGCATGTAACATGTAAGGATAAGGATACATTTTTTTTGCACTGGTTCGACAAATGGAAAACGCTATATCTATAGCACTAAACCTACATAAGTTTGAATATTTGCTACACCTACTTCAATTTTTTTTCTTGTTCTATATTTGACCTTTCCGATATTTATTTTATCTTTTTCAAATGTTCTACCGTCTTCCAACGCTGTCTATTTTCGATAATGAACAAGAACAAGTGAAAATTACTAAATTAGTATCGATCCAAAGAAAAATATTTCCGCTTGTTTCGATTTACTCTGGTCGCAGTAAATTCAATTCGATAAATCCCTATTTTCGCTTGATTTTCTAGATAATCCATAGGGACTTGGCGGCCCGTAACATCTTAATCACAGAGGACCACACATGCAAGGTCGCCGATTTCGGGTTTGCACGTGACGTGATCAGCTCGCACATTTACGAAAGAAAAAGTGAAGGTACATATAATTCAATAGTTTTACGTAGTTAATACAGATTTTCTGAATACGTTTCTTGTCTCGACCAAAACTTAACAATAATAATTTATATTCCTTCGATTTTAGGTCGATTACCAATTAGGTGGATGGCACCCGAATCCCTCTACGACAATATATTTTCAGTGAAATCGGACGTTTGGAGTTTCGGGATATTAATTTGGGAAGTTGTCACATTAGGGAGCACGCCATATCCCGGATTGTCAGCAGCAGAAGTGATGAGAAAGGTAAGGGTCTTGAATATTAAGGGCCTACGAAATCAGCATATCGAGCCTTTAGAAATAAAGGAAAAGGATTTTTTAAATATTGCCAGATGTAAACTTGCTTGGAGTTATTATTTTTATTAGATCCACGGTTCAAATAACCAATCGAATGTTAATTATTATAAAAATGATTTGGTTGGTTTTGGCCTTGTTTTTATTCTTGCTTGATGATGGCCATATTAATTTTGCATTTATTTATCGAGCAGAAATGCATGAAGAAGCACGATAAACATGTGATGAAAGTAAGGCATAGTTTACTATATTTTCACACTACAAAATCAAATTCAATGTTTTTCGCTGAAATTTTCGGACTTTTTTTCTCATGTATTTAGGACTAACTAATAAGAAATGCCTAAGCAGTCTAGAATTTTAAATAAGGAATGAAGGCTTTCACGGCCGGTCAAATCTAGTAAAAAAGTTTTTTTCCTACGAGCGTGCGCAAAGTAGTACTTTTCCGCACGCATTTCGGTTCTCAAAGTTGCACTTTTCCGCACTCAGTGCGGATACAGGCCTTATCCGCACTGAGTGCCGAAAAGTAAAAATAATTGTCAAGCAACAATAAGTACACCTGTCGACTTTGACACATGATGACAAATTTTTCCTCTGTTCCTGTTCCAGCTAACATCTATACCTACAAACACCAAATTTAATTAACTTCAACACATTGTCAGATTTGTTTTCTATATATATGCATCTACAAACTTTCTCATCAAATTTATAGCATTTTCCATTTGTCGAAACAGGGCAAAAAAATGTATCCTTATCCTTACATGTTACAAGCTTTTAGAAAAAGATGCGGATGCACTCAGTGCGGCACTGATGACAAATGGAAATCGCCATTAAACGCTTTAAGATGAAGAGCTCTGACGATGATTTTCTGTTATATTTTTTTTTTGTTATGTAATTTTTTGATAAATGCATAGGTTCCCTTCAAGTTAATTAAAAATAATTAAACAAATTATCGTTTTTTTTTTAAATTTTTGTTGTTACCTACCTGATATGAAGCTCGTAGGAAAAATTTTGTTCCTAACACGTGCGCAAAGTGTCTTTTCCGCACGCAAACACGTATCCGAACTCCGCTTCGCGTCGTTCGTATAACTGTGTTTGCGTGCGGAAAAGTAACACTTTGCGCACTTGTTAGGAAAATAACTATTTCCTACGAGCGTGCGCAAAGTAGTACTTTTCCGCACGCATTTCCGGGCTCAAAGTTACACTTTTCCGCACTCAGTGCGGATACAGGCCTTATCCGCACTGAGTGCCGAAAAATAATTATAATTGTCAAGCAACAATAAGTGCACCTGTCGACTTTGACACATGATGACAAATTTTTCCTCTATTTCTTTATCAGCCAACATCTATACAAACACCAATTATAAATTAACTTTGACACATCAGATTTGTTCTCTATTTATATGCAAAAATCTACAAACTTTCTCATCAAATTTAAACGCTTTAAGATGAACAGCTCTGACGAGGATTTTCTGTTATTTTTTTTTGTTATGTAATTTTTTGATAAATGCATAGGTTCCCTTCAAGTTAATTAAAAATAATTAAACAAATTATCGTTTTTTTTTTTTTTAAATTTTTGTTATTACCTACCTGATATGAAGCTCGTAGGAAAAATTTTGTTCCTAACACGTGCGCAAAGTGTCTTTTCCGCACGCAAACAGGTATCCGAACTCCGCTTCGCTTCGTTCGTATAAGTAACACTTTGCGCACTTGTTAGGAAAATAACTATTTCCGGGCTATAATGCCGTGGTCGAGTAATATTTCTACATAACGTTTCATCTACTGCTGCGGTAGACAACTTCAGAGGCGGTGTGGTAGAGGACGAAGTGTTCTCTTCCGTGTTCCTCCGATGACTGGATCCAACAACTTCGAGTTGAACCTGCGTTATTAATATCCAGGGTTGTAGGCGTGGCTTGTATTACGCTATTTTCGTGGTCTCGTTCTCGGAAAGAAAGGGTCTTCGTTTTTCGAAGAACTGGCAACCAGCTTTTGTTAAGGTTCATGCCCTCTACTTTTCTGTTGAAGTTGCTGTGGTGTTTCTGTATCTCTATGGCTTCTCTGTAGAGCCTGGTGTAAAAATGTTTGCTCCTATCCAATGCTTAAGTCTGGTCGAAACGAATGACATGGTTTGTTTGTGTTAACACGTATTCGGCGATTGCTGATCTATCTATTTGTCCCAGCTGACAGTTTATTTTGTGCTCTTTGACCCTGGTATCGATAGAGCGTTTGAGTGTTCCTACATAGACATATCCACATGAGCAGGGAATTCTATAGACGCCAGTCGTTTCAAGAGGTGCCCTAGGATCCCTAGCCGATCTGAGAGTTTGCTGAATTGATCTTGTGGGCTTGTAGATGGGCTTAATGTTGAGTTTCTCTAGCGTTCATCGTATGCGATCTGTGGCATTTTTGATGTTGGGAAGAAAGGCGCTCCCTGCCACCTGTGCTGGTTCCTTATCATTTGTGCGCTGTTGTTTCGGTCTTAAGTTCAGTGGCGGCTCGCCGCATGACGCAGGTGAAGCGCCGCTTCACCTTAAATTAGCGTAACTTAATAAAAAATTAAATCACACACATCATTTTGCAATAAGATAAACTATAATTACTATAATAATAATAATTTCCTATTCTCATTCTATTAAAAAATAGCATTTCAAATTCGCTAGATAATTTTAATTTCGGTCGTCGCTGAACGCCAATAATAGGTATAATAGGTTTTTGCGAATATTCAGTAAAATTTCTCCGATCAGCAACATTTTAATGTTACGTTTCATGGAAATATCACAAATATGAATTCGAAGCGTTCGGATCACGTTTTCCCAAGGCACTTGACGCGCATTTCAAGAATCAGCAAAACCGCCTCGTACCACCGTCCGGTTGCCATGGAAACGGCAGGGACGCCGTCGCTCCAAAGAGCGAGGCATGAGGCTGCGATTTTGTGCGCGTCTGGCAGTTTCTTGCTCCACGTTTGCGTGATTTTGGTTGTGTACAGAATAGGATTCGTTGTTTGTCTGTTCTTTATTATTTGCCGATTCGTTATGCATCTATGTTCCGGTATGTGTTTTATCAGATAAACCATTTTCGTGGTGGACAAACGATGGATAAAAAGGATTTTTATTTTCTTAAAAGGCAACAAAATAGTTTCCGCTGTCTTTGGTCTGATCGAAATTCCTGTTTAGTAAATTGTTTGTTGATGTTTGTTTATTTTCAATTAAAATAGGTAAAATTTTTCAGGGAATTTAAACCGATACCAGTCAGGGTAAATCGATTTGATTAGGTACCTAATAGATTTTTGTATACGGATAAAAAAAGCGATTACAAAAATTAGTTTTTCAATTCAATATTTGACAAAGCAAGCATTGAAGCACCTACAATAAATTCGTTTTTTGAAGGCTTCAAATAAAGGTTTTTGGGCGTGGCACCCGAAAAAAATTTCTACCTTACTGTAGTAGTAACCACACCTGCTTTGAATGAAGTAGCGCTTCACCATTTTTCAGAGCCACGAGCCGCCACTGCTTAAGTTGGTGTCAAATGAGAGTTTATCAAAATCTAAGATAGGAATGTAAAATCGGGTTTCCTCTAGAATTAACCGTTCAGGTTTTACAGCCTGTCAAAGTTGCAAAAAGTCAATTTTCAACTGTCAATATTTCCAAAACAGTTGAACTTAGGTATAGGGTATATCACATGAAATCTGCTCAGAATTTTACATAGAATCCAAATATGCAATCAGATATAGGGTGTTCTATTTAAACTAGCGATGCTGCCACTAGTTTAGAGTAGAAGCGGCAACACCGCATGATCAAAAATATTTTTAAAGTGTAGATCATGGTCGTTTATCCCGGTTGCCAAATTTTCAAAATGATCCGCTTTTTAGTTCTCCATAAACGTCTAATACGCCATCCACCGTGGGACACCCTAATTCATGAAACACGAGTTTCGGTTCAATCATCCTGACTACTAAAATATAGGTAGATACATCTAGATACATCTCGACCAACCATTAGTAAAATTTGTTTGCATACTTTTTAATAAATCACAATCAAACTTCATGTCAATGCACCCTTCCGTTGAATTCGATTTAAAACCCTTTATGCAAAACCTACCATCCAGTCTGCTGATTTAACTAACGAACTTAAAGTCGTTTAATATTAGGGTACATTGCTCTTAAAATGCCGTTATTAAAGATGAAAATATGCTGGAACCGCAATTATTTTAGAGTTTCGGAAACACTAATTACCTACAATGAAAATACTTCAAATTAAACGAAAAAGTTTCATAAAAGCCAAAGAGGAGCAATATAAATTATATTTGAGTTTCAAATGTTGAGTATTTCTCCTTCAACAGTTACCATTGTAGCAGCTATTCTAGGCATGTTTGAAAAATATGTACAGTTGCGATCAAAAAAAGTAGTACAAGAAAAATTTCAAAAATCTCTGGCCGGTATTCTGGTTCTCAAAAACGCTCACCGCTTTCTAGTCGCTCGGCACTTTAAATATAAATTTACATTAGAAGTGCCGAGCGACTAAAAAGCGGTGAGCGTTTTCGAGAACGAGAATACCGGCCCTGCTGGTCTATTATACATTAATTTAATTCATAACCAAAAATGACATATTTTTGGCATTTTTCGACAAGTTTTAACCTAGAAAGCTTCAGATGACTTTATTTTGACATTTTTCCACCCGTTTTTAACCTAAAATATGTCATTGCCCGTCAAAATTTTGTATGTTATACCGGGAGCTCAAATTGGGGTTAATAATTTTTGTACTACTTTTTTTTGATCGCAACTGTACGAGGGAATGATATTGGAAATAAAGCCATTTATTAACTGTCATTTCGATACTTATAATGTTATGTTAGGATTAAATAGAAAAAAGTACAAGTCCCGAAAATGAAATCAAATTACGCTTTCTAATCGGTCAGTCTGGATTCAACTCTAACAGCTATTAGAAAAGAAGGGATTATCGATATAGACGAGTGGGGGAAAAAAAAACAACAAAAAACGGTATCTAGTATATTAAAAAGTAAATAAAATAGTATTCGAATCGGCAAATGATAGGTATTGATATATGCCAAAAATGCAATTGATGGGAATTAGAATTAGCTGTGTTCGCTAGTTTGCTGTCAGTCACTAATGACAGTGAGATTTGCTCAGCATTCCTATGGATTTTATACATTGGTTGTAGCTACTTTAAAGATTGCATTATACTCTTAAGTTTGAACGTAGTTAGGGAATACCCTTCTGTAATATTTTTCTGTGACATTTAGAATAGTAGAAGCACAGCATATACAAAAACAATCAGCAGGCTAACTTGAGTGCCAGCCCGTGTAATAAAGGAGTTCATCGTCAAGATGTCACAAGCGGCCATTTTGGGATACGAAACAGGGCCTGATTAACGATAATTTAGGTTTTTTCTTTCTTGTGACAGAGTCGTATTGGCTTTAAAAAATTTATTATTACTTACATATAATAATGTTTATAATTACTAATTTATTATTATTATTGAATATACAAGAATGATAACAGATAACACCATAAATGGCAACACGAATATATCAAAATCATTTTGAAAATCATAGCTAAAATTCCGCTCTACACCGCACGCCTATGACCTCCGTCAGAAATAAACAAATAAAATAAAATTTCGGCGCTCCTGCCGTTTAATGACAGCGTTATGACAAAATGGTATCCTCTAATGGCGGCGTGCGCAGAAAAGATGCGCGTGAGAGTTAGCCTGCTGATTGTTTTCGTATATGCTGTGGTAGAAGTCTCCGACCCTTTTGGCCAATGAATTGCTTGCCATAACTATTCCTAGTCCAGTAGTTTTGGTTCTTTTCGACCTCAATCTCCAAAGTGGCTCCTGGTTTTGTTTCCGATCTGCTATCGATTCCGTCAGCTTGTCCTCTGGCCCGTCAAGGTCCTGAGCTCTTCATGTAATTCCTTAAACAGTCTTGATGACACTTTGAGAACCGTTTGGATCTCCCCGTTGGCTGTATCACTCCTATTATTTTCTCTTTCACACTGGAGAATAGCCTGCTTTTGCTTGGAAAAGAGAGACCTACCTCTTCACAACCAATGTCGTAATTGGAAAAGTAGTTATGTTCCTTTGTCAGTACCAGCTGCACTCATTGCCCCTTCTGTGTACTAGATTCGGTGCTGCTTTTTGGTCTCTGTGGTAAACCTCGAATGGCCTATTGAAGCAGTGTCGCTAGCATATGCTCTATCTTTGTGTTCAAAACATCTCTCTCCACATCTGCGAACGCCGTATGTCCCGTCCTCTTGTTGTTAGCGATTGTCAGTTGCAGGCTGTACGCGCTCATCCTGGCATCCCTCCATATCGCAAAGTGCAGATTTGGAAAATTTAGGAGGAACACTGAACACTGCTTTGCATTTTGCAGCACTCACTTGCCGCTGTATCTTTGGGCACCACACGAGGAAATATTGGGTAAGGGAGACTTTGTTTTAACACTGGTAAAAGCCTTTTTTGTACTGCGGTAGCGTGCCACCAGAGACTTTGTTTAAAGTCCCACTGGAAATCTAGGTAACTTTGAACGGATACTTTTTAGTAATCTGATTAGATTACCTCTTCCAGTGCGGGTTCTTGCTACCTGAGCTGTACGCATCAGTTAGTTGGAATGCTAGCTCGGGGGTTTCCAAAGGAAATAAATGAATCAGTTTTTCTTACTAAACTCTAACAATGGTTTATTGAACAACTGGTGAAACTTGGTAAGGAAATGAAAGAAAAGCAAAGAATATACAGTAAGTTATTAACAAGTTATACTGAAATGAAATGAAAGAAATTAAAGACAGAGTTTTTGGAATGATAAGGAGTGAAATTAATGAGCGTCCTGTATACGGCGTTCCTTGATGGTACAGGTTACATGAGAAATTGAGGATTAAAAGATACAGAAAATAAGGACTAGGTTATAATTCTTAGTGAGTAAAAAAGTCACGGGCGTCCTCGTCCCTCGAAGGGAATCACAAAACGGCCTTGTTATTCGTGTAATACATGTTGGAAAAGAGATTTGAGTTGTGAAGCTAATCCAACGGTTTTGTTCTTTACACAGGGGAGAAAATAAATAATAAACAGAAAACAACAGTCATGACGAATAAATTAAAATACTTGAAATTGAAACACCTAAGGTCTCGGAAAGAGAATCAGCAGAAAGACATCAACACTAAACACCAGAACTTTGCTACAGAACTAAATCAATCTAGGAGGCTCACGCAGGCCTATTTATATTGGCAGCTTGATGACGCTTTTGGGATTCTTATCGGTCGCAAAACATGTGATTTGTTCATGGAACCAGGAGTCGAGAGTCGTGTTTTAAGACACAGTCATCACACTCTTCCCAAAACCGACTGATAACCCTTGGCTCTTGACACCGTTTCGTCAGAAATTTAGCGACTTAATCTCGGTGGGTAAAAAAGCCAATTAATTGTATTACGAAACAAAAAAAAAAGGATTTTCAGGCCGTTCTGTTACATTAGGTGTACGTAGGCACTGGGTTAATAATATACCATCTTGTTGTTGGTTCAATGCAGCTTGTCCTGTCTTAAGCCACATAGTTTTCCATGTTAGTCTAGCTAAGTGATGCCACCGTTTTGTAATGTTTTTCAAATATCGGTTCCAAGTTAAGAATCCAATGTGGCCCCCATACTTGATCTCGCTGGAAATCTGTATGTTTTCTCCTTTCAGACAAAGGGGGGGCCTAGGACCTCTCGTTTCTGCCCTTGGGCCAAAGCCACAATGATGGATTCGTTGGGACTAATTTTTACCTATTTTCGATCCACCCATAGCGTTGTTTGTTCCAAAGCGTCTTGCATGCCTCCCCCTAACCTCACAGTTAGTATTGCCACTGAGATGACTATTTCATCAACATATCCGAGGGCACGGTGTGCTTCGCCAGTTAGACCGTCCGCTACTAGATTCTACAGGAGCGGAGACAAAGCTCTACTATGCGGACATCCCCTGTGGACCTAGCCTGTCTGTGTTTTCCCCGCATTAGTTGTTTCCACCATTATTCCTCGTGGACCTAGCATGGAGTTAATCTACCCACAGTGGGGTGTCCTCCACTACTTTGTGCTTGAGATATCTGGTTTTTGACTCGAAGGTGTTGTAAAGGCTGCCTCTATTTCCAGAAAAGCGCCTAGCATCCCCTCATTATTTTCTAGTATAACCTCTAGTATGCGATATGCTTACTGGTCAGTGTAATAGCGTGTTCGCCAACAGACGATCCTGATTTGCCTATCCACAAGTTTCTCTAGTGCTTCGAGTTGTAAAGACATAAAACTAATGGTCTTGAGAGACTTTGCTTTTCCAGGCTTTGGTATGAAGGTCAACCTAATGTGTCTCCATGTCTTTGGTATGCAGCTAAAGACTAAGATGTTTGTTTCTCAAAATGTTGCCGATCACCCTAAATGTGAGCTCCATTCTGTTAAAGTATGGTAAAGATATCACCCGTCCCCGAGGATCTGCAATCCGTTTGGCGAATTGCAAACAAATTTTTGTTGCTGGATTTAAAGATACACTTTAGTCCCTAGAGATATAATAATATAATCTTATCTTTAATAAAAAATAAATCTATATTTAAAATCTTTTGTTCCAGGTTCGTGATGGTTATAGACTGGACAAACCCGACCACTGCCGAAGAGAGATCTACAATATTATGTATTATTGTTGGGATAAGGATCCCAACCAAAGGCCTTCGTTTGCAGAGTGTGGGGTCTTATTAGAAAAACTTATAATGACCGAGACTGATTATATTGAATTAGAACGATTTCCTGATCATTCTTATTATAATATGATGAGTTTAAGTGGAGAAAAATTGTGACAAATCTGAATATTTACATTGAAATAAGAAACACTGCCAAAAATAGATATGTTATTTTTTTAATGTTCTGAAATTCGTCATTGAAAGTTGAAATTTTGGACGCATTTTGGGTTGGGATGGAGATTCCCTGTTGGATAATAAAAATGTTGCAAAAACACTCAATAAATACTCGAATAGGATAATTATTAACTTATTTAAAAGCAAATATTATTATTTTTATGTGATTCTCATTATATTACGTATTTATAAGAAAAGCTCACTCTCCCATGGTTGTTCTAAGGATACTATAAAGCCTAGATGGCGTATTAGTGCTGACGTCACATGTTCAGATAGGTTATGCTAAACTTTAACAAAATATCTGATAAAAACAATATTTTTACATATAGCCTCACTTTTATCATCAGGCCAAATGTGTTTTCACAGTTTTATAGCATTGGCTTTGTTTTAATAATATTAGACAGAAATGTGAATTGAAACGGACTGAGAGTTTGTCTAGATACAGGCTGTTAATGTATGACGTTACACTAATAAATCGTATAGGAAGCCAAAGCGCTTTATTTTGTATATAAGTTTAGGAATAGTCGAAATAATTTAAGCTTATGTTTATGATCTAACTAACACGGCGCATTTAGCGAAACTCAACATGCCGAGGAATTAGGCACCAACTTTGTTGAAAAAAGATTACAATCAGCCCTTGGCTTTTCAAAACTAGTCTACCTTGTGTATTTGACTTGTTGGAACAAAGCCGCTGAAGCCAATCATTCAACACATTGGGTTTTGCAAAACGCGCCCTGTCAAGTCAACATCAAGTAACTATAAACTTTTCTCGATTTTGATGTGAGAATGTCATAATTCCCGCACGCAAAATCATTGAAGAATGAAGCTCATTCTTCAATGATTTTTAGTGACATTTAGTTTTCAAAGTATACCTATTGGTACCTTCAAAATTGTCAAGCCTTCTAAAATGATAGAACCCACCTGTTAGTTGGTTGGTAAGTAAGTGTTACCGACATATTTTGCAAATGAAAAATCCCCAACTAATAGCGTGCATAAAAAAGTTTTAAAAAATGAAAAATAAAATCCAAAATCGAGAAAATAGTATAAAACTCACGTTGCAGAATGCTATTCTCGCACTCATTCGTTCTTCCACTCGCTCCTTCGTCGCTCGTGGCCCAATTTCGAATGCGTGCGAGAATATGTGGCCTTCTGCCACTTGTGTTTTAATATACTATTAACTGTTTTTTTTTTTTTTTGAAAATATTAGGTATGTATAATCATTTGAAAATATTTTTTATGAAAAATTACCAAATCTATTCCCCGATAAGAATAACCAGCCTGCATACATTTCATTCTTCTTGATTAAATCTAAACTGAAATTTGTAGAGAGATGTTTATTTTTCTAATCACACAACTGCTTTGATTAAATTAAATGTAGGAACAAATAGGTAATATTCGCAGATATCGGAGTAATCCAAAGACAGTACCATGCGCGTTCATCACCTAACTAAAAATTCAACTGGTGCACTATCGTTAGAAACTATAAATGGCTGATGAAGGTGTGCGGTTCTAGGGATGACAAGTAATGGTCTAATGAGATGTTTATCCAACACTGACATATACCTATAATGACACTATAATTGCTCTGATTTCAAATAAATATTGTGGAGTATAAGTCACTATAGTGGCTTATAGGTTAAACCCCACTAGTGAGTTATAACCCTTATGACAACCCATAATAAGCACTTCCTTACATTGTTAAAAAGTTTTTTGCTTATAGTAACAACAAAAATTTTCATTATTTTTTGCAAAATCGGGGAAAAAACGGCTACATTGTTTATTGTTAAAAAACACCAGCAGAATTAGAGTATGACGTATGCTACGCATACCAATCAATATTTTTTATAAATGAAAATCCGTCTGAAACCAAGGATCGGCCCTATCATCCAAAAATGGAGAATTTTATGACACACTTAAGTTCGCCCTTCGTTGTAAAATCTGTAAATTTTCAATCACATTTACATGAAAAATATATTAAAAACTTCCAGGTACCTACTTTTTTGCCAGGCTGTGCAGAACATACTACATGTAAAGTATATACGAAATCAATCTGAATAGCCTTAAAAACGGTATTGGCGGCATCTTCTTTCTTAAGACAATCGATAAAATTCCCAAGAACGAAGAAAAAAATTATTATTCTAATTTCATCTACTTCAATAAGCAAGCCACATCACTGATAATTTATCAGCCAATGTGAATGCTGGCGTCTACATTGCAGCAGACATATTTAATATTTTTTTTTTGTATGCGACTGGAAGTTGTCTATGGGGTCTAGTCATCATAAGATTGGGTCATTTTTGTTGAGATATATAGGTATTAAGAGGACCCGGTAAATGGACTGTTTTATGCAGCTGTTCGGATTGCCTTCGTATATACTATGTTGATACAGGTTGACACGGTCCAGTACCCTTGGAAGTTGCGCGCATCTCACTTGGACGATACTTGGATCGTATCAACTCGAGTATCAACTCCTTATCCAAGAGCAGTTGGATAGGTCTTACCATCCAAGTACCTAAGTATTTTCCGTCGATTTTAATCTGACACTTTCCGTATGAGGAGCGAGGGGGTGAAGTATATGGCCAAAACAAGTGTGACGTCAGGTGACCATTGGCATTCTAACGTAAGGAACCACCAGCTCCCATTAAGGCTGGCTGCCAACTTACTTGGTCCCAGCTGTCATCCAAGTGCACTTGGACCGTGTCAACCTGACTTAAAGTTCAGCTCAATCCCTTGAGTGGGTACGTATTGTCCAATGCGCAATAAACTTCACTCGCGGAATAGACCGATCTCCTATTACCTGGGCTGCGCGCGTCGCTTGTAGGCTGAAGGTGAGCGTCCAATGAGAAGCAAGTTTGTGACAGGCTTGCGTCATATTCTAATTCAGGAGCCAGTTCAGAATCAATCGTTCCTTCTTTCTTTGTAACGTGTAATTTGACAAAGAGCAAACTAATACTTTACATATTACTTGAACTCACCGCAGTTTCGTTTAAGGTTATGTTAGATTATACTTGACATATTTCATTGAGCGATGTTGCCGGATGAAACATTTATCAAAATAAAAGTGCAAACGATAGTCATCCACTTTAAAGCTCTTCTTTTGTCTGATTTAAGGCATTGTAAAACCCTCGACACTATATCACTTCTTTAATGTCATACTGTTCAATTTGTATTGTCTACATTTGGTTCTGCAACAATAGAATCTGGCTACACTGCAGCCTACGAGTTGCGCGCGCATGTCATCCTCTATTGCTTTCTAACTTGTATTTATTACAATTAAACTCACTTTTTCTAATCATGCGAGACAGGTCTATTGCGTCACTTCAGTCCCTTTGGTACATAATATACTAAATATTCCGTTTTTTTTTTTTTTTTTAAATCGAAACTCAATTAGGTATATGAAAGCGTTGGATAGAACATTGCGAAAATCAGGACAAAAGTTTTCCAGCGTGTCTTATGTAACATAGCTTACGTAATACATATTATATTAACTTAATCAAACAAATAAGATAAATACTTAATACGAAAAGAAATAACAACAAGTTCAATTGCCCACCTATTGCAGTCCAAGCTTGTACCTGTACCGCTCATTTACATTTCGGTTCCCCAGTGTCAATCCCAATGGGACCAACGGGAAACTAAATATCCTGAAAAATACTGCTATATGCAGTATTTATTTTTTTTTTGACAGAAATCCTAACCGTATTCTGTAACTTATCTCTGTCATACTTGTTACAGTGAATTAATTAGATAGAGAACGATAGATGCAACAGATTTGCCTCACGTTTCGAACAGAGTGGCATAGAATAGAGTTCACTGAGCTATCGTGCAATAAAAATAACGTTTATGTAAATAGAATTATTTTGTTATTTTTTTTTATTTATAGCATTATAATAAATCCAATACGAAAGACCTAAGTAGTTTTTATTATACGTCCCTGCTTGACCAATTTAGGCTCATCCAACATTTTCTTTTTTTTTTTCATCATCTGAATGGTCTGGCCTTACATTCTGAAGACCCTATGCAAAGCGCAGAACTCTCTGATATTTTGTGGCATAATAGAGTCAAGGGTATTTTGTTCTCATCAGGTAATTATTCCGTTTCAACTCTTAAAAACTCGCGGTTGGTGACTCCTCCTCCTCCTACATGATGGTAACAAAATCTGGATTGAAAGTGACTGGCGTAGAGAAAGATAAGATTGAGAGAGTGCTTTATTTCATGTAAATGGCACTATCATGGCACTATGATGTAGGTCACACGATTGACATTAACTCGTAGAAAATTGATTTATATTTTTGATTTAGAGCGCTCACTTCTGTTGTAGTCGCCAAGTGACATTTCCGACGGTGCTGCCATACCAGTGTAGTCATTGAACTAATATTTGGCAGGCCGTTTGAATCTCAGATTTAAACTTTTTAAATGTTTTTTTTCAAAGTAAAGCAGTGCTCCGAAACTTCATAAACTAAAATGACTACCATTTTATTCATTTTATTTCCATATATTTATTTATGTGATTATTCCACTCATGTGTTAGAAATCCCATAAGACAGGTGACGATTTTCAGAATTACAGCGAAAATTCAGTTTTCCATTTGTTTAACTAGAGAGAATTACAGCGATAATTCTCCTATGTTATTGTATACATGGTTGTCATGCTAATTTTTGATAGAAACAAACGGTTCCTGATAGCAACCATTTATTTGTATTGATTGTTAAGATGTTCAAATCGTTTAATACATATTTATTTCCATATTTTTTGCATTCTCATACGTGAAATAATCCTCTAAATACCACTTGAGCTTTAAAATGAACCATATAATTTTTCACTCATGCGTGTTTCCTCTGCAAATTAAAGAAAACACGCAATCGTGAAAAATTATCGGTAATTTTGAAGCTCTCGTGGTATTATCCCCGAAAATCAGTTGATGAATAAAATAGTCTATTATCTAGATGATCTGGCGTATCTGACTTTTGCCATTTACAGAATGATTAGTATATGGGTTTATTTATATACATGAAATGGGGAACAATAATTTTGTAAGCTATCTTTTTGGCTAAACAGCCGTCATCATCGTGGAGGGGTGAGTAAGGGCTCGACGTCCGTTGGTCCTAGAGTAGGGCCTGGTGGATAACCTTGTGTGTAGGATGACATGGCATTGTCTTACGTGTGAACGTGCCAATGTGATTGGTTATTTCCACTGTCCTTGTTGTGACATTTTTCTTGTTCTCTCCAGCTGTGTCTCCAGTGGCGGCTCCTATATTAGAAATGTGGGGGTTGCAATTCCAATTTCAGCCTTATCGGATAATGATCGACCACAGAATGGCTCTGCAATTGAACTTTGAACATTTTTTTGTCACGTACCACACCACAAACTAAAATAAAATATTTTAAAACAAACCTTATCTGCGATGCGCGCAAAAAAGTGAAGAAAGATTGCACTTTGCCTGCAACCTGCTGGAGCTTATGGGACGGAATTGAAATCCGCGCATAGATAAGCAACCACATATGCGCCATCTTATAAGCCGATCGGGTTGCATTCGAGCTGCAATCCAGCGCGGCGGCGAGTCAGTTATTGCCATTTTGGCGAAAGTGGTCAAATTATTTCAATAAATTAACTGCGGGACATCTCCTCGCGTATTATGTAGGTACCAAATTTTGGTATAATTTATTTTTAAAATATAATTAGGTACTAAAATATTAGTTCTTTTCTGTTTTATTGTTTTCAACTTTTGTTTTGGGGGTTGCGCAAGCCTGCAAACCTTAGGAAGAGCCGCCACTGTGTGTCTCCGAGAGTGATTGGAGAATGCTGTTGGCGTAGACTCGCTGGTTGGTCCAGTATTGGTCCCAGGTTATTCCCAGGGCCGTCCTCAGCATCTTGGATTTGAGTCCAGCTAGTTTGGTTTGATTGTAGTTGGCGGCGGAGCTCCAAACTGGGTAGGCGTACATTTTGATTGGTCTGATGTACGCCTTGTAGATCCTCTGCTTTGTGGTGGCATCTAACCTAGAATTTTTGGAAATAAACGGATATATGCTATTGGCAGCATCGCCAGCATTTTGTGGCACATTTGCGATTTGAAAGTGAGTTTTCGATCAAGTTTTATTCATAAGTATGTGACCTCGTCAGTTGCCGTGATGATGGTTCCATTGATCCTTAGTGTGGTTCTGTCGGGGCTATTTTGTGGTTAAAATTGACCAGCTGTGTCTTGGACTCGTTAATTTTGAGCTTCCACTTCTGCGTGTAAGCTATTATGCTTTCTATATGGTTTTGGACTTCGTTGGTCGATATTTCTAGTCTTCTTGAATTTGTGAAAATGGCGATGTCGTCTGCGTAGAGAGCTATCTGGGTATTTTTGCTCTTGGGGACGTCGTTGATTTGAACATTGAATAGTGTTGGAGCTAGGACACTGCCCTGGAGAAGTCCATAACGGATCGCTCTCTTATCGGATGCTGAACCGTTAATGATTACTCTGAACGTTTTGTTGGTTAAGTAGTTTTCGAGGATTTTGATGATTCGTTGGTTGACTTCTGCTCCGTATAGCTTTGCTATCATTGCTTTTCTCCACACTGTGTCACATGCCTTTTCAAGGTGTAGGAGAGCCATTGTAGTAGTTAGTTTCCTGTTGTTGGAGTCCCTTGCATGGTCTACAACTCTTGCGAGTTGAAGTGCAGTTGATCGGCCTGGCCTGAATCCAAATTGTTCGGGTATGATTTTATTATTGTCTTCCAGATGCCCAGTTATCTTTTTGTTAATTATTCTTTCCAGAACATTTCCCATGGTGTCCATGAGGAAAATAGGGTGGTAGTTTTGCGGCTTTCTTGGGTTTTTGTTGGGTTTCTGAGAGACGATAATATTGGCATCCTTCCATTTGGTGGGGAAGTAGTTTATTTTCAGGCGGGCGTTTTAGATATACGTGAGCTCAAAAATGGCTTTCCTGGGGAGTTGTTTTAGATGTTTAATCACAATTCCGTCTTCTCCTGGTGCTTTGAAGGACTTGGATCTTGCGATGATTCTAGCAATCTCTCTTGGGCTGATGAGTGCTTCCGGTTCCAGATCTTCATTTTCTTTTGATGTTAGATTTTCGTATAGTTGGTTCACGAGCTCTTCAGTCCTGGCGTCAGATAGGTTGGTGGTTAATTCACTTGTGGCAATGTATTGGTCTGCGAGAGCATCTGTCTTCTCCTTGATTCTGGTGGTGTTATTGTGAGTTATTTCCAGTGGTGGGATAATATTGGGGTTGCCTTTACGTTTGAAGCTCTTGATATGTTTCCATATGTTGTTTGTTTCATTTGCAGCCAGTAATCTTTTATTCCAGGCATCTTTCTGATAGGAGCCCAGGAGTGCCCTAACCTGGTCGCATTAAAGTTGGTATTCAATTTTATCCTCTACCCTTCTGGTTTTCTGAAATCTTTTCCTTAGGGCGTTCTAATTTTAATTTCGTCCAGGGTGGTGTCTGGAAAAGGGCTGCATTTTGGGTCCTGTTTGAGGATATAGTCGGCTTTTGCTTGGCTTATAATGTTTTTCAGCTCTGTAATAGCCTCGTCAATTTCGTCTGTGTTGGTAAGGTTTCTGGATATTATCGTATTTCTGTTAATCGTCAGTTTGTAGTTTGTTCAGTCAGCGTTGGCGTAGATGTGATATAGTTTTGGGGATTTGAGTCTGGCATCTTAGTTGGTTTCGAACATTACTGGAAGGTTGTCGGATACCAGTTCTAATATGATGGTTGTTGTGGCGAATACGTCTTCCGTTATGGCAATATCCAGAGTGGCGTCTTGTCCGTGGCGCGGGGCAATCCTGGTGTAGGTATCTGGAACAATAATCTGCAATGTGGATATATCCTGGAGTCTCTGGAGGTCTCTTCCTGCTGTATTGTCAACCGGAGTGTTCCAGTTAATGTGTTTCGGGTTCAGATTCCCAACCAGGATGCATTTTGGGTAATCCATAAGTTCCCGGATTTCCCGTGAGTTGAGGAAAGCGCTTGGTTTTTAAAATGGCAGCAATAACCTCATTGCCTTGGGTGAATATGGCCACTGATTCTATATCTGCGGTGTTGGTTATTGCTTCCTCGAAATCCAGATTTTCGGCAATACAGATAGCTACGCCGCCGGCTAGATGGCGTGGGAGTTGGTCTGGTCTGTTTCTGTATATTGATATCTGGGCATTTTAGGCGGTTCATGGCTAGTTTGGTTTTGTTTATAGTGACAATGTTTGGTTTGGTTCTCAAGATAAAGTCTTCAGTCTTTTAGGATTTTCCCAGGAATGCACTCAACAAATTAATTTTTCAGATGACATATGCATTATGATGTTTAATGGACGTTAAAGAACGGCGATACAGGCGCACAGCGGTGTAGTCACGAACTAAAACAAAAAGTGGAGGGGATGAATCCAGTGAATGTTCTATTTATGAATTTATAAATCACTTTCCTATGCATTAACTTCAGTTTTCTCCACTGTTCTTAGTCCTAAAAAAAGTAACTTCCCCAGTAGCACACAATGTTGGTCCCATGTTGCGGATACATTGGACCAATATTGTATGTTGGTCCAATATTGGCATTTTCCAGCCAACATTGGGCATTTATTGGCAATACAACTTCTTTCATCATTAAAATAATATATTTATCCAAGAATGGGCCAATATGCACAAACAATATTTTTATCGGCAGCATATAGCCAAGATTGGTTACATATTGGCAATACAAATTTTTCTTATATAACAGTGATATCCATTATTGAACCGATAAGCACACAAAAATTGTTTTTTTGCATTATTGAGCCAATATTGGCAATACATATTTTTCCACATTGTAATATTATATTTACATAAGAATGAGCTAATAGGTGTATTCTTTCGATCTGAACAAACTGATCGAAATCACTTGAGGTTTGTTTCAAACAATTTTCATTCGGTGTCACAACGATACAGATTACCTACATACAGATGCGAAAGAGCGGCGAATTCGTGGTTCAAGATTAATTTGATAGACATAAGCTGGCCGCACCAATGCCACATCAATGTATTTTGAACATATTTATTATATAAATGCGGAAGCTCAATAATATAATATTATTTCTTTAATTGCTTCACAAACAGCAAAAAAATATTTTTTTCTACCCGCAAAAATATGTAAACACACAGGCTGGAACATGCTCACGCACTCGGCCACGTTAACACGTTAACCGCCGCACTAGAGTAAAAAAAACGTTTCGAGGGGGCCATCAACATATTTCTCTATTTTCAGATTATGTTAAGTGCGAGAACACATTCTGTGACTAAAAAAACCCAAAATAGTTTTAAGGGTTGAAGTTACCCCCGTGAATCATAAATAATTCACGCAGCCTCAGAAGCAAAATATAGCTTCTAGGCCACGTGAATTATAGTACAAAGTACCTACATACATATTTTATTTATTTTTATATCATTAATAATCATTTATTTTAAGCACAGGAACTAACCAAAAATCAATCAAATAATAAATACTTGTTACATTAATTGTTTTTTTTTTTTTAATTATTTTCACCTGAACCTAAAACGCGTG